ACACACACACACACACACACACACACACACACACACACACACACACAAGGGAGGAGGTGCATGGACACCAAATGGCATGGTCTGGGGCTAAACGGGAGCTGAGGGTGGAGGGTAATCACTTAATGGAGCTTTATGCACCCATCTCCCCCTGCAAAAACACACACACACACACACACACACACACACACACACACACACACACACACACACCCATAACAGCCACAGTGGGAGAACTGTCCCGTCTCTGCTGTGAACCACCTATGGTGACTCGATTGGACCCCCACAATGAGAGCTCAGCCCCTCTGCACTGTATCTACAGTTACTGATCACCAAATAACCACGTTGTAGTTCAGGCGAACCACATCACAGCCACACCACAAAAGGGAACCGTGTCACCACTACTACCTTCATATCACTTGTTTATCCCTCTGTCCTATCCCCCCATCCTGGTGTTGTTTAATTCCATTAATTGGCCACATTCCAGCCTGAATGTGGCCAAAATAGACACTTGGCCAGTGGGAAATAGGTTTAAATGAGTCTCTAGTGAGTGAGAGTAAGGGCACTTTCCGCACTATGGCAAAACAACACAAGCATAGTTATGTGTGTGTTTGAAAAGTTATCATGGAAACAATCAAAGCTCAAAGCTTGCAAAGAAAAATTGCTACAAGTATACGCTTTAGGGACATCTTTACTATGTGGTGTCCCCCAGATGTTCATTCCTGAATGGGTCAAAGCTGCTACCATCATTCCTCTGATAAAGAAGCCAACAGGATTAGATTCCAGACAATTACTCTCATAGTCATAATAAACTGCTTGGAGCAACTACAGTAGTTATAGAAGGCATAAAATTCAGCCTGTCCATCTCATTAGATCCCTCCAGCTGCCTTATTGCGCCAGCTTTCTCAGCTGATGCCATGATTCCACTGCCTGGTAAGGCGGCGCTCGACTCGCGTCCTGTTCTCTATCTGTTTTCCATTGCAGGTAGTACCCATTCAGTGGAGGCAGCGCTCTCAGCTAATCGGCATAGCGCCTCCGTATGAAACTGTCTTGAAATCATCTTCAAAAGGACACTCACTGAATCCTTTCATCGGCAACAAAACAAAGGAACATCAGGCTACGGCGTAGTTTTGTTGGCTGCAATTTTTTTGAAAACATCTGGGTCAAAAGAATAAAAAATTTAAAAAGCAGTCGAATTGCGTGGCTATTTAAAAACTAAAGGTTTGTGCAGGATGTTGCACTGGTGACAATTCTCTCTGACCAATCAGTGGTGTGCAGTGTTCTTCTAGCATCAGCTCAGCTTGCCTGGAACCTCGACTGAGGGGGTTCCAAAAAAGTACCAGGTACTACACAGTTATAATGTATAATGTATAATAATAACTTGCTTCTTAAGGTGATTGAAACTAATCAGGTGACTGCTGACTTTAACAAGGCCCATCCTGACCAAACCTTACTGGATACCAGCACTTCTGTTGTAGGAGGAGTCAGGAACAGCGTGGAC